TCAAACTTCCTCCTCCTTGGTCCTGCTTGTACCCCTGGTACCAAAAAACATTTTGTCCATCATTCAAAGACACCAGTGGCCACTGGGCAGTCTTCAGCCTCCACATGCCCTCGCTCCTTTACTTTTTCTGTAGGGAATGAGGAATGAAGCTTTCCTCATTCCACCAAGGGGCTCTCATCAGAGCCCACAGACCCACCATCCCCCTTACCCATTAACCCCTTGTGATGGTTAATTCCTATTGCCAACTGGATATAATCTAGAATAGCCTGGGAAGAGAGTCGAAAAGATGGATTGTCTAGATTAGGTTGGCGTGTAGGGCATGTCTGTCAGGGATTGTCTTGATTAATGTAGGTGGGAAAACCCACCCACTGTGGCACCTCCCCTGGTCAGGGGATCTTGAATTGCTCTTGACTGTGGATGTGACCAGTTCCTTCAAGCTCCTTTGCCTTGACTTCCCACAGAGAGAGAGTATAATCTGGAATTGTGAGATGAAATAAACCCTTTCTTCCTAGGGACTAAACCCTTCCTTTTGTCGGGGTACTTGTCACAGCAACAGGAAACAAACTGAATGCACCCCTTATGTTATTGGGGAGGCCTGGAAAGGGACCTGGGGGTGACATGCCTTGGCCACGGAGTGATGGCTGTGCCACTGTGGTTGACATTAAGTCGGGCAGTCTTTAGAGACGTGGATGTCATTGTTGTAGGCCAGGAGCCCCGCCTACAGCTTACCCTTGCCCCTTACCCCTGGTTATCAAGCTGGGTGAACTGTGGACCTTGCTGATGTGAGGCCTCTGGCAGGCCTCTCTGCCCTCACTGTACACCAGTCTTCTATGCTCAGAGCTGGAGCTCTAGGCCCCCATCCCCTGACTCCAATGGAAATCCCCTCACAGTGTGTGGGAAGGGTTGCACACTATGTGCCTGTCTTCTGTGTGCAGGCTGTCATGCCTATACTTCCAGTCACCCACTTTCTCCTGCCCCTTTCCATCTCTGTGAGAATGTTACAGGGACCAATGTTATAATTGATGTGAAATTTATCTAAAAAAAATATACCATTTTAAGTACATAATTTGGTGGCAGTCAGTACATTCACAAACTGTGCATTAACTACCACCTCTGTCTAGTTCCAAACCATCTTCATCTTCTCAGAGGAAACCCATGCCAATAACAGCCACTCCCTATGGCATCCTCCAGGCTGGCACCAATGGTGTTCTATGTCTGCAATCACCAATTCTGGGTATTTATATGAAATCCATACATGGAATCTTTTGTATGTGACAGTGTGGGCTCTTTTCCACTAAACATGTTTTGGGAATTGTTTCACAGTGTAGCAGATGCCAGCATTTCATTCTTTTCTGTGGCTGCATGGTACCCATAAACCAAAACCCACCCATCCACTTCTCCACCCACCTTAGATGGATGTTTGAGCTATTTCCACTGTTTGGCCCTTGTGATGCTTTGGTGAACATGTGTCCACATACATGTACACATACATGTACACACATATGTACTTGCTTAAGAATCTGTTTTAAATCTTTGGGGCATATACTTAGTAAAATTGAAGGGTCACAGGCAATTTTCTGTTTAAGTTTCATTAAAAAAAAACAAAAAACAAAAAAATGACAATCTAGGGCCTGGAGAGATAGCTCAGAGGTTAAGAGCACTGACAGCTCTTCCAGGGGTCCTGAGTTCATTCCCAGCAACCACATGGTGGCTCACAACCATCTACAATTCAATCTGGTGCCTTCTTCTGGCACGAAGGCAGAACAATGTCTATGTAATAAATAAATAAATCTTTTTAAAAAAACACAAACTATATACTGCCTTTTAAAATAGCATTTTCACTTTGGGACTTGGCTGTGTAACAAAGACAAGGACACTAAGTGGAAAAGTCCTGGTCTAGACTGCGGGATGCCTGGATTCGTTTCCTAGCTTTGTACTAACTGGCTGGGCAATCCTTAGCAAGTCTCTGGCCCTCTTCTGACTATTGCTTGTTCATCTAAAAAGTGAGGAGATTATTTACAATTAAGTAGCTTGTATAAAATTAAATAACGGTTGAGCTTTTTATCTTTGAACATTTGGTTTCAGGAAGAATGGGTTCCTGAGAACAAAGAAGGGGTTTATCAGGCAGCAGAGTGCAGCTATCATGATGCCCTTTACTATGCTGTTAAACTGTGAATTTCAACATCCCCAACAGCTGGGCTTTTTCCTGCCAAAGCGTTTCTGATTAATGAGTAATTTCTGGCTTCCTAGTTCCATCAAGATTCCCAGAATGAGTATCTGTCCCTTTCCCATCACTTCTGCCACTTGGCAGGTTCTGAGCCAAACATGGTGGTCAGGGAGCCTAAACTAAGCCCTCCCATCCCTTCTTGAAGAAAGGCCATGACTTCCCTAATGCAAGCTCCCTCCACACTGAGGCTTCAGTGAGAAAGTCAGGCTGATCTTTGGAGATGTGAAGTCAAGGTGAAGCATTAGTGGCTTTTCTGAAGGACAGTGTAAGGACCATCCTGGAGAGTTAACTCTTGTGATGCCTTCTAACCACAGGGTCCATCCTTGGAAGTTCTACTCTCTTGACTTCTTCCAGCTCATTGTCTTCCTGACATCTGACCTGTAGAGAAGGGATTTTTCCCACCTTAGTCACTCTCCAGCCTGTGCTTCCTTGTGGTTTTCTAGAGGAACACACACACACACACACACACACACACACACACACACACACACAGCCCCCTAAGATTCAGGGATCTTCATAGATGAGAGAGCAGCAGGATTGTAAGAGCAGACATGGTAGATAGCCTCATGGAAACAGTGTTTGCCGGACACAGCAGAGCCGTTGGAAACATGAATGCATCATGACTGTGATAACATGCACAAGACCTGTGCACACTCCAGCCAGACAAAACCCTAGCATGGAGTGGGGGAGGTGAGCACAAAACCATTGCTAGCTGAGGACTTATTGGCATTTAATAGCTGCTGGTAGAGTCAGTTTTCTTTCATGATATGACCCTTAGTAGGGGAAGGACAGCCCCAGTCCCAGAAGTAGCTGGGCAGCATAAACTAAACTGGATGGGATTAATAGAAGAAGAAAAGAAGAAGGAGAAGGAGGAGGAGAAGGAGGAGGAGGAGGAGAAGGAGAAGAGGAAGAAGAAAAGAAGAAGAAGAAGAAGAAGAAGAAGAAGAAGAAGAAGAAGAAGAAGAAGAAGAAGAAGAAGAAGAAGAAGAGGAAAGCTCACCCTTGTGTAAGTAAGGCATGGAGATGAGATATGGGAGGAAGGAGGAGGGCATGCATATGTTCAAAATACATGTTATGGAATTCTCAAATAATAAAATGTTTTAAAAATAATAGCATCTAAGTAACTTCTTTCATTTATTCATCTAGTTGTTCATGTTTCTTACCTATCCTTATGTCCATTTGTCACACATTTTGAGGGTTCTGTGGTAAATTCCTAAGATTGGATAATAAACTTTCCCATTTATGGGGCCTTCAAGTGACTTTTTGGAATGAATATGAAGCCGAGGATGCCATCGTGGGAGCAGAAGTGGGTATTCGGGAACACCTAAGTAACACTTAGCAAATCTTAATGAAAGGGGACAAGATCACAGACTGTCCTGCACACGGGTTAATCTTTCCTGGGCCAGTGGTCAAGACAGCATACACTGAGACCCTTCAGGAGCCACATGCCAGGGGCGAGTGAGATGCACATGGTTTGGGGCATCGAACCAGTAAAGGAAGTTAGCGTGAACTTGGGGACAATAGTGAGAGGTGACAAGGAGTGGTATATTTGTATTTGTGCTTGAGAAATAACAGTTCTGGTCATGGACAGAGAATGAATGGGGGACAGAAGTAGAAGCAGCAGGGCTACTTAAGGAGCCGTTGCAGTCACTCCAGCCTGGAACCCTGGTGATCCAAACCAAGGAGGTGGCCATGGTAAGGAAGGCAGGTAGATAATAGAGGCCAGATCTCAGATCTCTCTCTGTCCTCTCTCTCTCTCTCTCTCTCTCTCTCTCTCTCTCTCTCTCTCTCTCTTTCTTTCTCTCTCTCCCTTCCTTCCTCCCTCCCTCCCTCTTTCCCTCCCTTCCTCCCTCTCTCTCCCCTCCTCTCTCCACCCCCACATGGCTGGGCTGGTGTTGGGCTCAGTTGCTGAAATGTGAGCCAGAATCCTTCATTCTGACATGGGGAGGTAGTGGCTGGTGATGCTTCCTACTCTAGGACCCCAGAAAGATGGGTGTATACAGTTGACTGTGGCCTCAGGTTCCAGCCAAATAGAGCAGGAGCAGTGATATCTGTTCAGCTGATACAGATGTCCTCAGAGGAAAGCTGGAGGGACTCTGGAGACTTCCACCTGCGGTCTTCCCCCATGACTTGGTCCCATAATGCTGGCAGGCTCCTACCTTTCCATAGGGTCAAAGAACATCAATGAGCTCTTATTCCTGTGTCCTTACCCAAATGCATCCTTTTCCAAGCACACTCAGAAGGCAGTCCAGGGAAGCTTTGAGCTGGTACATCTATTCAGGACCTCTAAGCCAGTGTGTGTTTTAATAACTCTCTATGCAGAGTTGCCTTTATTCCATACTGGGTCTTAGTCACTGGTAGAATTGTCCTCTGGAGATGCCACCTTGTAGCACTTGGACATCTGGGACAAGTAGCAATGCCAAGAGATGTTTTTGGTTGGCAACAGGGCTGACTGGACTCTACTGACATTGGGTAGGTAGAGCCCAGGGGCACTTCCAACACCCTACAATACAAAGTACATTTCCCATGTCGTGGATTGTTTCATTCCAAGGTTAGAAACCCTGGTCTAGGAGATTCCCACTCTATGACTAAGAGGCCCCTCAAGTCTTTTGAGACTCTGGGGGTGAGTAGAGCAAAGCACATGTTCAAGAGAAACTCAACTGCTGTTGTTTTCTTTCTCCAGCTGAGCACTGTCTGGAAAGCCCACGTAGAGCGGCACAAGGCGTCGAGAGCCTGTGGGCTGGGCGACTGGGAGCAAGGCCCGGTGCTGAGGATGGACAGGCAGCAGGCGCCACCCTGGGTCCACATAACCCTCATCCTCTTCCTCCTCAGCCTCGGAGGGGCTATCGAGATTCCGATGGATCGTGAGTTCTGTGCCTGCTTTTTTCTATTTTACTCATGATATTGGAGGAATGGGTGTTGGAGAGAGAGAGGTCAGGGAGGCGAGGAGGAGAGGGAGTAGCAGTGGATTCCAGGCTTCAGAGCTGGGTTTTTCTCCAAAGGCTTGATGTAGGCTGCCACTGGGAAATTGGAAACTAGGATGCAGGCCTCTTCTTAGGGATGTGGATAAGCTGGTATCTGTTGCCTGAGGAGTGGAGCTGAGAGTTACAGAGTTTGGAATTCTGAGAGTCACCTGGAGTTCTCTCTCCCATACTTACCCGCATGACCTTATCCTTGACTTACCTTTCTAAAAGCAGTCTCCAGGATCAAGTGTGGTGGGGTGTCCTTACTAGTCTCTCTAACTCGACACACCCAAAACTGATGCCCGCCCTTGGCTGGAGTAATAAGGGCAATGGTGGATAGACTGGGAGAGGGTTGGCAAGGACATTCATTATCTTTGTAAAAGACACAGCCAAATGAGACATGAAGCTGTACTATGTTATCATGGGAGAGCCAGGCACAGGTTCTTTCTGTCCCAGGATTCCCTCAGAACTATCAAAATATGGAACTCTTTTCTGCCCCTGGTGGCAGAGCCCTGTCTGAGCTTGACACACTGGACTGATGTCTGGCTCTCTATCCTCGTTTTCTGGTACTGTGTTCACTGGTGGCTGTTGATCGGATCCTTATTCCTTGGCCCTGCTTGTAAGCACACACCCCTTTGCTACAGCATTGGTACATGGCCCAGAAGTCTTAGTTAGCATCCTAGTACCTAAGGTATAGGCATAGCACCTCTGCCCCTTATTCTCTGCCTCAAGGAATTCACGGAGTCCATGTGATGCCAAGATAGACTTGGACTCTGTCCAGTTAACAGATGGATGAAGGAGGTGGGAGGTGAAGATGGCCTCCAAGAAGGCCCCACAGCACTCTAAAGCCAGACCTCCCCCACTCCAGTAACAGCTACCCCAGAGGAGTCTGCACTTATCGATAACAGAGACCAGCAATAACATATGAACTGATACCAGGAGCAAGCTGGCCAAGACCACTGCTGCCTGTGTATCTATACATGGAAGGAGGGAGAGAGGAGAGCTGCGAGACCAGCGTTCCCATGGTGACCGTCTGTGGTGGGCTCAAGGAGAGTCTTATTAACAGCCAGGCCGACAGTCTAATGAGCGGTGTGATAAGGGTGTGTCCCTGGAGAGGAGGGTGCAGAGGAAATTAGGTTATCGAGAACATGGTGAAGGCTCATTTCTCTTCTGCCACTTCTCACTCGCCTGCCGTTAGATACACAGGGCTGGTGGGGGAGGGGCTCCTGCAGCGTGAACACGGAAGTAGGTGGTTTGGGCTTCTCTATTGAAGATATGGATTTCTAAGCTCTACTGGTGATGGGTATACAACAGGAAACCCAAGTACTGCCTGAGGCAGAAGGCTGAGGGCCCTGACCTCCTCATCACTGAGGAAGAGGAGGAGGAGGAGGGAGAGGAGGAGGGGGAGGGGGAAGGGGGGAGGAGGAAGACAGGGAGGAGCCATCCTTTCCTGTTGTATACACAGACCAGATGACCATTTCTTGTTTAGGGTCACACCTGTCACGGTGATAAAGGCAGAATAGAATCTGGGTCTTTTGACTGTGCTGTGGCACAATGATCCTGCTTCCCTTTTAGTCCTTGGATTCCACTGGAATTGCAGCTGCCCTAGGCAGACAGAGCCCTCAGAGTGGTGATGATCCCACCACATGTGGTTCTCATAGGATGTGGGTGCCATCCTCAGCGGCCAGGTCAGGGAGCTGGGACAAGCCGAGCCAGCACCTGACAGCAGCACCTTCGAGAGGAGTCTCTACCACATGGTGTAGTTGGTTCGGCTGTGTCAGGATGGACCCCAGAAAGCACCGCACCTCCCTCGTTGCCGCAGACCCATGTCAGTAACTCCTCTGCAGAAGCTGAACTCAGAGCCACGACACAGCAAGGACAAGGATTTCCTCAGCATGTTTCTCCCCTGGCTTAACCACAGCCCTTCCCACGTTCTCCGAGCTTACCTGCCGTCCGGGCTTGGGACAAGCCAGGTGTTCCTAACTTCCCCCCTTTGCTGAGAGTATCTGACTAGAGACTGTCCTGTGGGTGTCTTACTCATTTGCCCCTTCAGGGCATTCTGTGTGCCTCTAAGGCAGGGACACTGCTCCCACTCCGGCGCTTGGCGTGGCATCTTTTTGGAGCAGCTCCCTGGATGGCTGCACAATCCCTTATTGACTCACCCAGCCTCTGGCTCCAATTGCCCTGCCAATGAAGTCACACGCCACATCCCTCCCATTAGCCCAGAGGAGAACAGCATGACCTTAAAAAAAAAAAATGGTCATCTCATCAGCATGGCCTTGCCAAAAGAAGTGAGTCTTCTAGAAGCTTGCATATACTTCCAACCTCCTTCCACTCAAGAGGATTCAGCATTTCCTCCTGGGAGCCCACAGAAGAGGACAGCAGGATGGGGAGACACTCCTCCCCACCCTCCTGTGGGAAGGCCTCAGTAACACACCTACCCCACATTCTCCACCCTCCCAGGATGGAGCCCAGAGATCAACTACCAGAGCCCAGGAAGAAAGGAGGGGCATGTCCTTTGGGATAGGGCCTAGGCCCACTGCCATGTGTCTTGGCTCAGGGAGTATCCCTCTATGTGGATTGGGCTCCCGAAGTCCACACCTATGCTAGAGATGAGAACTGAACTACTACAGGAGTTCCCATAGATTTCCGAGGTCTCCTCATTGAAACCCACGGCCCCATCCCAAAGGATATGATAGACTGATGTCCTCCTATGGAAGGCCTAACCCTCCCTGGGGAGCAGAAAGGATATGTGATAGGTAGGGTTTTAGTTGGAGGGGGAGTGGTAGGGGAGGAGAAGAGGGAGAGGGAACTAGGAGTGACATGTAAAACAATCTTGTTTCTAATTCAAATAAAAAAGATAGAAAAATTCTAATAACTACTATTTAGAGTAGATTCAATTTTTTTTCCCAAAGTACCACACACATGAAAACCATAGAAAATTATGCAGATATCTACAATGGATAAAATGTGTTAAATAGAGAATGAATGCTATTTGAATTAATTAAAATGAATGTGAATACAAAAAAAAAAAGAAAGAAAGGAGGGGCATGAAGGCAGAGCCCTGGAGCCAGAACAGACACCTGCTCACCCCCACAGAGATGGGTTAGAGGGCCATTTTCTCCTTAGAAACCAAAAGAACAAATTCATTCTCTACCTGACATCATCAACAGCGAGTTCTGGGAAAGGAAAGAATGTGTGTTGGGGTGACAGAGAAGAGCACTGTTGCCCTTGTCCTCAGACAGGCTGTCCCCACTGCCTTCTCTCCATCTCGCTTGTCTTCTGGCCTGGTTCTATCCCTACAATAAATCCATTGGGGGCAGGATGGTAACTAAGATGTCATTGTCCCACTAGGCAAGTAGATGCTCAAGACGCCCTTAGCCAGGTAGGCAGCATGGGCTAGGGTCAGCAGTCAGCCAGTTCTAAGCTGGCTCGGGAATCTCCATTCACTGAAGTATCTTCATTTTCCCTTGTGTGCAATGTCAAGGACAATGGCGTCATGAGGCCTGCATCCAGCTAACTCACTAAGGGTGGATTTTGGAAGCTCTGCAACAACATCTGGGGAAGCTAGTGCATATTTTGTCTCCAGAGCTAGCTTCCATAGGACGTAGCCATGTGACCACCCCTCCTTGAATTCAAGATGCCATGAAGGCAGCAGAGCCTGGGAGCAGGGTACATGAGGACCAAGAGGCATCATTGTGACCTGAAATGAAGCCAGAGCCCAGCTGGTGGTCAAAAGGAATGTGTTCAAGTGCCGGTCCTACCTGTCTGGAGACTGCCCCCTCCCTCGTGTCCTCCTGTGTCAGTCCCACTGGCTTTCAGTCTTTTTAGAATTACTGTTCTTGGCAGGAAAACCACATACAGGTGAAAGTTGTGTGGCAGGGAGCTCCACAGAACCTGTGTTCAGAGCCCCGTGCCTGTCCTCTTGGGCTTTTCATTCCTTTGTTTCCAGCCCAGGCAGACCTGGACAAGTGAAAAGCAAAATGTCCCTTCATTGCTCCAAGGGCCACACCACCTGGCTCATGGAACCTTTCTAAAGGCTATACCATGGAGATTTTCTTTTGCTGACAGCCTGTATGGTGGCCTGCCTGCTCATTCCTGTCACACACCATCCCTTCTTCACGTCCTTTTCTCTGCTTCCATGACTCTCTTGGGCCTAGGTGAGCCCTGGCTTCCTGCAGGCCGCCCTTTCTGAGCCTGCACCTCCTCCTCCCAAGTCTCTTCACTCTGGTTGGAAGACATCAAGGTCTCCATGACTCTGTTCCAAAGCCTCTTGCTCTCCCCAACAGCACCCACTGTGAAAGAGGCAGCCCACTGTGCCTGTGTGTGCCTGACCTCTGCACCAGCATGACGTGTGGATCTCACCTTGCTCCCTCATGGTATTGTAAGAAAAGACACTGAAGAGTCCTAGAGAAATATGTTATCCTTTCTCCACATCTGTTTGAACCAAGGCTTGCTTTCCACATCTAAAACCTTGCTACCCAGGGCGCAGTTCGTAGGCCACAGCACCACCTAGGCATTTATCAGAAGTGGAGGACTTAGAATAGATGCGGTTCTGTGGTCGAGCCCTTGCCTGAGTTCCACCCCCAGCACTGAAAGAAAACAGCAGAGCAGAATCCAGGCTCTACAGCAGGCCCTCCAAGCCAGAGCCTGCATCTTCTCTAGCTGCAGTGATTCATTTGTGGGTTACAGTGTGAAAAGCAGGAACACACCTGCACACGGTCTGTGTGTTCAGACAGGGCTGGTGAGGATGTGTGCTGCCTACCTCTTTGTCCCATTTGTGGAAGACACAAGAAGAGTGGTGGGCTCAGACACATGCTGGGATTCTGTCACCCAGGAACAGGACTTTTATAGAACATGTTTTTGTGTAAGAGAGAAACAGTGTAGTAAGGGAATGGGGTGCTTTAGGCCTTTGTCCCATAGACGTGGTTAAAGTCTACTCATCTACTCATTCCCCAGCATCTCCATGCTGACCCTGTGCACCAGGCTCCCACATTCCTCAATGGTGCCAGATGCTAGGAAGCCTCGGAGGGGCTATTGAGATTCTGATGGATCGTGAGTTCTGTGCCCGCTTTTTCCATTTTACTCCTGATATTGGAGGAATGGGTGTTGGAGAGAGAGAGAGGTCAGGGAGGCGAGGAGGAGAAGGGGTAGCAGTGGATTCCAGGCTTCAGAGCTGGGTTTTTCTCCAAAGGCTTGATGTAGGCTGCCACTGGGAAATTGGAAACTAGGATGCAGGCCTCTTCTTAGGGATGTGGATAAGCTGGTGTCTGTTGCCTGAGGAGTGGAACTGAGAGTTACATAGTTTGGAATTCTGAGAGTCACCTGGAGTTCTCTCTCCCATACTTACCCGCATGACCTTATCCTTGACTTACCTTTCTAAGGGTTCCTTTCAGGCAGCGCTGTCATTTGGGGACATTTGGACTTCCCTGGTAACATCTCCATTGGTTACTGATCCTGCCCTACTGTGTAGGCTCGGTCTCCCTGGTGATACACCTTTTCCATGAAGTATTTGCTGGGTCTGTTCTCCAACCTTGTCTGGCTCTTCTGGGAAGCTCCAGATCTGGGATAAATCCCCATGTGCAGTGTTGTTCCCATGTCTCCTCACCCCAACCCTGTATGATAGGGCAAGAGGATGCCCGACAGTTAGCTGGTCAACTGTGTTACAATAACAGTGTTTTCCTTCTCTCCCACTCCCAATGCTAACCCACTGGAACTAACAGCAAGCATTCAGAATGAGCGTAAGTGCTTCATGTGCCTTCATGCCCTTGAGTCTCTGGGAGGTTGGAGGGAGAGAGGCGGGTCTGGGAAAAGGCCAGCTGAGAAAACTAGGCTTAAAATCAGTGGCCTCTTCATTGCATGTGGGTGCTGCTCAAGCTTAGAGCCCTATAGTGAGTCCTTTGCCAATATAAGATCATATCCCCAGGACAGGGGGTGGGTAGGTGGTCAGAAGAAGGTCTGCGATGGCAGCTGGGATGCTCCCTAGCTACTGCAACTTGTGGCTGGCACTGCCCCCCTCCCCGGGACGGAACACCAGCTTGCTGGTGCACAGGGAAGCCCTTGCAAAGCTCTAAGGGACTGAAACCTCTTTTGGCTCTTGCCTCAACAGTCTGGCCATCTGTTGAGAGTCGTGGCTCAGAACCATCACAGTCCTAAATTCTGCAGTAATAGCTGGTTTCGTTCCTGTACCCATTCAACACACATTTAGCAGGAACTGTTGTGCCCTGTGCAATGTGCCAGGCACTGGGATATTAGCCTGGGTGAAACAAAGCCTGCCTGTCAGTTGCTCAGAGGGAGACTGGATCTTCTTAAAGGGGTTCCTGTGTTCCACGTTTGACATCCACCCCTGTCCTGTAACCCTGTTTAAGAAGCTGCATCTTCAGGGTACTACTCATACCTGCTTGCTTGCCTGCTTTCCCAGGCGCCTCCTGGTGCTCTTAACTTTAGCCACTCTCTAAACCAAGTTCAGGGCAGGTGTCTGCCGTTCTGACCATTGCCACATGTGTCCTGTTGCAGTGACCCAGCCCCCAACTATCACCAAGCAGTCAGTGAAGGACCACATCGTGGACCCCCGTGATAACATCCTGATTGAATGTGAAGCTAAAGGGAACCCTGCCCCCAGGTGAGTGGAGGGAGAGGGGCCTGGAAAGCCACCACTGGAATGACCTACTTCTTGGTCATACTGAAGGCAAGCAAATGGAGAAGTTCAGCATAGGGCTTGAGCGACTGCTCAATGGTTACAAACGAATACTGCATTTGACAGGATGTGAGATCAATTCCAAGCACCCTGGTCAGGTAGCTCAGTCACCTGTAACTCCAGCTCTAGGAGCACCCACTGCACCTGACCTCCACAGGCAATCATACGCACATACCCCACACATACCCCACACGTGCCCTCACATACCCCACCATACCCCACACATACATCACACATGGCCCCACACATACATCACACATGCCCTACACATATCTCACATATACCTCATACATACCCCATACATATTCCCCCACATACCTGATACATGCCCCCCACATACCCCTGAATTACTCCTCATGTACCTTCCATACCCACACATACCCCTGAGCATACTCCCACACATAATTAAAAGTAAAACAAATCTTTTTTTTTTTTTTTTAATGTCTGGTTCATCCATCCGGAAAATATCCACTGACATTTACCAGGTGCCACACAGGAGCAGGTGTGAAATGGCCACGTGGTTCAAAGCAGCTGTGCAGCGGCTCTATTCCTGTGTGCTCATGAGAAAGTTGCTCAGAGCTCTGAGACTCCATCACCTCTTCTGGAAAAACAGAACTGCCCTTGTGTTTATGGGGTTTTCACTAGTTTCAGCAAAGTGGGAAATTTACCTCGTAAGGAAACCAGGATGAAGATGTTAAAAGGCTTGTTTCTGTTACAGTGAAACCCTGGAGTCTCGGTGTGTATCCCAGGCTGGCCTCAAACTCATCACTCTCCTGCCTCAGTCTCCCCTCCTAAGTACAATGGTTACAGGTATGTGCCACTAGACACAGCTCGATGTTATTTTCAGACTTTTAGTATAACATGCTATGCTGTCCTGTGTCGGCATCATCCACCTTTGTTCAGTTTACAGGAAGTCCCTCTTCCAAGCTAACTCGGGGTTTTCATACTGAGCTTGTGTTTGCTTGTCTCAAATGTGAGGTCGGTAAACAGGAAGAAGAACATCCTATCTAGACTGTTACGTGCTGTTCCATGATCTTATTCACCTGCCCCTCTTCCTCTGTGGCAAGGCCAGTGTCTTCCTGAGGAGAGAAGGTGATTTTAAATGCCTTTCCTACCAGTCACCAGCTTGATTGAGCCCTCAGGATTTAGAGCCACTGCTACGTCTGTTTCTGCTGAATGACATAGCCTAGCAAAATGAAGATGTTAAATAACATGCTCCATTTTCAAAGTTGCAGAGTGTGTCTGGTATCAGGGAGACAATGCAGGGTGGAGGTTTGCTCTGCCTCTGAGATTGTGGGAGACAGTCAAACCAAGAATGATGAGCCCAGAGCCAGCAGGGATTCCCTCATCCCAAGTGGGAGGCACCCTATAAGGCCAGTCAGGACGTTAGTGACCATGCCTCTAAGATAGATCTTTTTCTACATGGGTCCTCTGTGGAGACAAGGACTCTAAGCACCCATTGCTGTTCCTTGCTGTGTTTGTACCACATCAGCACAGGGAGCCAAGAATGTGTGTGGCTGGCTGCAGCATCCTCCCAGGACAAGCTGAGGATGATGATGATGATGAGGAGGAGGAGGAGGAGGAGGAGGAGGAGGATGCCCTCGACCCTCCTCCTCTCCTCTTCCTCCTCCTTTTTCATACGAAGGGTAAAACTTAGATTCTTGTACATGCTAGGCAAGTGCTCTGCCCCCGAGACCCCACTCCCCCAGACCTAAGGAGATAGTTTAGGCTCTTTACAGCTCTCTCTCATTAGCCTGCCAGTTCATCTAAAGCTGCCCTTCCATGGTTCCTATGCTACTGTTTCGTGGTCTTCATGCAGTACTTGTCAACCATGGAGCAGGCAGCCCCTGCCATCCGTGTTGCCTTCAGAGCAAATTATACTATTAAAGTGTGGCAGAGCAGAGGTGGCACCGTGGTACACGTGGGTTGGTGAAATAAGGAGTTTGCATTAATAGGAGGAGACTAGGAATGTCACAAGATAAAGGAAGCAGCTGGCTCTGTTTTTTTTTTTAAGAAGCCACTGTGTCCCTGAGTTATGTGCTCACAGAACAGAACCACTAGAGAACATGGGTGCCTACTGCCCGTCACCAGCCTTAGCTAGTAACAGCACCCACTGTATGTGGTCCCAGTAGACCTGACCTGGGCCTTTGCATTCTTCCATGTGTCTCTGCCCAGCCAGGACTGTGTCCGTTGGCACAGAGGTAGGGTGACAGGGTAGAAGTCTGCCCCTAAGTGGGGGACTAGGCACCCTTTCCGGTCCTTACGCATGGTTGGCCTGGTCCTGTCGTTCACAGCTTTCACTGGACTCGAAACAGCAGATTCTTCAACATTGCCAAGGACCCACGGGTGTCCATGAGGAGGAGGTCTGGGACCTTGGTGATTGACTTCCGCAGTGGTGGACGGCCTGAGGAATATGAAGGGGAATACCAGTGCTTCGCCCGGAACAAATTTGGCACTGCTCTTAGCAACCGGATCCGCCTGCAGGTGTCCAGTGAGTGTCAGGGACGAGGCTGGTGCTGGCCCCCCTAGGGGTGGGGGGCAGACAAGAGGCCCTGCTCTCCATAGGTCTCTCCCACCTCAGAAAGATTCCTGGAAAGAAAACATCCAGATGAGCCAGTACAACCTTACCAGCTACTCTGAGCACTGGAGAAGGGGAGAGGAGAGCGTCCACTGTTACAACAAGCTTCTCCCTCCTTTCAGCAGTCACCCTCGATGTCCTCGCTCTTTCCTCCCCTATTCTCCCATTTCCCTTTCTCTTGAGCCTGTCCAGCTCTGGCCATCGCTTCATATCACTCTCCTATGTTTCTCTTCAGAATCCCCGCTGTGGCCCAAGGAAAACCTAGACCCCGTCGTGGTTCAAGAGGGTGCCCCCTTGACACTGCAGTGCAACCCCCCACCTGGCCTCCCATCCCCAGTCATCTTCTGGATGAGCAGCTGTAAGTGTGGAAGCATGGCCTCACCAAGAGCCCAGCTCCTGCGGGTGCGGAGGGTGGGTTGAATTAGAGATATAATGGTTACTATGAACTGTGAACTTGACGGCTCTAGAACCACCGTGGAGACAAACCCCTATCTATAAGGGATCTCTAGGTAGGTTAATTGAAATGAAAAAAACCCACCCTAAATATGCATAGTAACCTTTTCGTGGGCTGGGATCTCGGGTTAAATAAAAAGGAGATAGTGAGCTGGGCAGCAGCCTGCATCTCGGCTCCCTGACTGTGAATGCTGTGTGACCAGTGCCTCACGCTTCTACCACCATGCCTTCTCCACCACGGCCGACTTTCCCTGGATCTTTAAGCCAAAACAAACAAAAAGAAAAAAGAAAAAAAAAAAGCATCCCTTAAGTTGCCTTGGTTAACAGAGATGCACAGAAGTATGGGAACTAACATGAGGGCTCACTCTGAGTTAGGAGACCATCTTGTGAGAAGCAGATGTGAAGTGCCACCTGGCTCAAAGCAGCTGTGCAGAGAGGCTGATACAACTGTGTGCTCATGAGCAAGTTGCTTCACAGCTCTGAGCCTCTAGCTAGGCGGCGGTGGTGGTGGCAGTGGCGACGGCGGTAGCAGCAACGCACACCTTTAATCCCAGCACTCGGGAGGCAGAGGCAGGTGGATCTCTGTGAGTTCAAGACCAGCCTGGTCTACAGAGCAAGTTCCAGGATAGCCAGAGCTACACAGAGAAACCCTATCTCAAAAAAAACAAAAACAAAACAACTCCTTCCCAAAAGAAGCTCTGAGCCTCTGTTCCCTCTTCTGGAAAAAAAAAAAAGCAAAAAACAAAAAACAAAAAAAACAGAACTGCCATCTATGTGTGCAGTGGATGGGGGTGGGGGTGGGGTGAAGGTTAGGAGTGTTCAGAGCTGGACCACACACATAGGAAGTCCTTGGTAACTGCACTGATGAAGGTAAAGAGTAACAAAAGAAGAAAGCAAATGTTTTCAAGGGGTAACTGGTGGTGACAGTCTTGTTTCATCTTTGGTCCATCTGGTTTTACTGCAGTCCCCACACTTGGAAGTCAGGAGGTGAGTTGAAGACTAACATTTTCCATAGGCGATGTAGGGAGATAGAGTTTGGAGTAGAGAACCAGGTATCAGCACCCAGAGATTGTTCTGGATCTGTTGTGCACTGATGCTCACCTAGCTCTGGAAAGACCAGGTTTTTTTCCACATTTTCAATTAAAATAATAGGGGGCGTTGATAAAGGAGAGATGAGCATTCACCGCCCTCCACCCTGGCCCTGCTCTTGCTCTCTGCCTCTCACTCCCTGTCCATCTCCCTGGATTTCCCTCCCCTCTCCCTTTAAGCCCACCTGTCTGCCTCTGCTGCCCCTCGTTCTACCCTTCCTCCCCTGTCCATCCACCCACCCACCTGCCTAGCCACCCATCCATTAGCCTGTAAATCCAGCTGCCTACCATCCATCCGTCCATCTAGCCTTGACTGTCCGGCCTCTTTCCATTGAGGCTGTGCAGGGAGGCAGTATTGAACTGTTTTTGCAAGGAGAGGATGGCTTTGTACACATGCATCATCCCTCTCTTTCTTCTCACATTTGTGGGGAAGGATGCCTGGCTGTCAGCTGGTAGGTTAGTCCGGGCCCTTTTCTCTCACCTATCACATCATATTTATCACTGAGTTAGCTCTTGAGCAGCTCTCATGGCCCTCTTATTTCTGTCCTCACTAATATCTCCTCATCCCAGTAGCCCTGTTAGCTTTTGCCTGCTTTACAATCTCATCCGCAACAGGTCTCCTTAGGCTTTAAGAACGGAATCATGTAGCCTCGTTTGCACGCTTTCACTGGCTCCTCTCTTGCTTCAGCACAAGCCCAGACTCCTTTACAGTCTCCCTCATGATGCAGTCCTGCTGCCTCTCCAGCCACTCCCCTCATCCCTGTACCCTTCAGCTCCCGGCTAGGCCATGTCATTTCAGCCTCAGACACACTCCTCTAGTGTTTCAGGACCTTGCAGCACCTCTGTCTTTCGTGGCTGGCACAGACATACAGACCTCGGGATTCTGCTCAGGACTCTTGGGAGAGGACAAGGTCCCTTCTGCCTCCCCACTCTTCCTCCCCAGTGCACTCTCCTCTCCACATCATCTCTTCCTTCTCTCCTGCTATACTGAGGGTCTGTCTTTCACCAGCCTCTAGAACATGGGACCTGGCACACAGTAGGCCTTCAGAGGACTTTGAGGGGTGATATGAAGAACCGAGTGCCTGTTGTGGGACAGTTGGCATCACCGACATGAAGAAGCAGCTGTAGGAACAGGAAGAAGATCAGCCTAGAATGTAGGTCAACAGACCTGACAGCTTGGAGAGCTGACCCTCTGTGTTAACACCAGTTCCTGAAAAATATAGTGATGTCACATCCCCGATGCTCCCATGATGCCATTCATTCTCAATCCTGAATTTCACCATCTCTAAAACTGGAAGACCTCTTAAAATCAACAGTGTGCGTCATCAGTTGGCATACATCTGACAATTATAAGTGAGAATTGCTTTTTTTGTCTTAAGAGTCAACAAAATAAAGTCCATATTATAATTGATGATGGCTAAATTTTGATTAAATGCAACAAAGCCAAGTTCAGATGTACTTAACACACAATTGAGAGTCCTTGTGTGCTCTGGCACTAGCTGGGCACTGAGGTCTGAGGATGAAGGAGTACTGGTTGTTGCCTGTGCACTTGACTTCTAACTTGAGGGGTAAACAAAGGTTTGTGTTCTCTCCCTCTGGCCTTGACATCAGTCAGGTTGTGGCATGACTGGAATTAAAAAACATGCGGTCACAGAACCTAGGCAAAGAGATCATGACCATCTGGGTTTAAATATACCCTTTGGATGCATTCAGCCCTTCACTTTGCTATAAGGAGCAGACACACCTGCTTCAGGATTGGGAGGAGTTGACTAAATGGTAGCAAGCTCCAGTCCCCATTTGGTCTCCTACACGGCCGAGCTGGTTGTCATTGAGTCAGTCTGCTAACCTCCTGTCACCCCTCTGCTTCCTCACAGCCATGGAACCCATCACTCAGGACAAGCGTGTCTCCCAGGGCCATAATGGGGACCTATACTTCTCCAACGTCATGCTGCAGGACATGCAGACCGACTACAGCTGCAATGCACGCTTCCACTTCACCCACACCATCCAGCAGAAGAACCCTTTCACCCTCAAGGTCCTTACCAGTAAGTGCGGGCCCTGTTCAGAGCTGGGGGCCACAGGAGGCAGGCCCTAAGCCCACACATCATGCATACCTGCAGCTGGCCCAGAATCCACCTCTGGCTCATTGTGCCTGAGCCACTGCCAATGCCTTATGCAGCATCTCTGGATGCAGAATCCTTGCATCAAACTTGGTCCTATGCTAAGCCTGTGCTTGCACTTTGGTTGGAATCAGAGTCACACACCAAGGTCTAGCCTTAATCTTACCTCAGCAGGCTTGGGCTCTCTCAGCCCGCAACTCTCATTCAAATGCTCCAGGAGTTTGAGATGACTTTAAGTGACCACCAAATCAGGAATTCCTATGGTACCCCTGTCTTATTCTTCTTATTTCTAGTCCTTGGTTGCGTTTGTTCAGGAAGAAAGCCAGTGTATAAAGCACTAGGACCAGTGCAAACACCAGAATAATTTGTGTTTCATTCTGTAATATGTATTTGCTGAGCGGTATGGATGTATTATTCCACAAACTGCAGATTTATGCTTTTACTTTGTGGGGGTTAGTTTTTAGACCCTGATTGTTTTTGGCTAGTACAAAAGCAAATTAGCCTTCGCTGGCCCACTACACTGGTGGTGGCTCTCTCCAGAGGCATGCAAAGACAAGTCAGGCAAGAGTTTCGCCTACCGTCCTCAGCTCGTTCAAGATGACACCTGGGTGTGGACATGTAACACGGCTAGCAGTTTCTACCCCACCTGACTCAGGCTGTAAATGTCATTGTCAGTGCTGTGCTGTGGATGGTGAGGAATGTGAGGATGGCATGCCAGGAGCACCACCTGGGGGAGTCCCCTGGGGAAAAGCCTGGGTGGGCTTGCTTGTTCAGCACTGGCAGAGACCTCTTTGGTCTGTGCTGGTGATGGGAGGGGCCGCTATAGCATCAACACAGCCTCATCCCTTTCCTCAGGGATGGAGTACCTGCCCGTAAGGAGAAGCTTCCTCTTGTTTGCTTCTCATGGCTTCTTCCTCCTTTTTTCTTTCATTTTCTCCTTCGTTTTATTTCCTTCCTCTGTTCTTTCTCCCTCTTCATTGCTTTCTTTTCTTGCTAGTCTTTCCCTCTGAACACTCCTCTGGTCACCTGCCTCCTGGTCTGTGATATGCCTTTGCCACTGGGAATTGTCGCCCATGACAGGACAGACAGCCCATGGCATTGTGCAAACCTCAGCAAGGAACACTGACTGCTGCTGCAGAGGCCCTGGCTTTCTGACTCCTGAACCCACCCCAGGAGACCCCTGGGAAAGGAAGTTGATTTGCCCGCTGTGCCTCCTCAGGTGACTTCAGGTGGCTATCTGCCAGCTGGCTGAATGAAGGAGGACAGTGTGGTCTGCCCAGAACCTCTGAGTGCCCTCAGCCAGGACAGGGCTTGCAATGAGGAGGAATGGTGTTGTGAAGAGGGTAACCCTGCAGAGCCTTCACGTCCACCTAGAAAGGGTGGTGTTGGGTGTCAGTCTGCCTGAGCCAGGCATCATGCTGTTCTGGGCAGTCTGGGAGCATGTTCAGTTAAATGGCACTTAGCAACGGAACTTTCCAGAAGCATTCTTCTCTCTAGATGATGTCAGGGATGCTTGTCTCTGCTTCACTTTGAGTTGCCTGTCCCATTGGAAACTCTCCTCCCAGCAACAAGAATCCCTCTTGGTAACCTGGACAGAACCCTGCCAGCTTCCTGGTGTCCTCCCAAGAGTAGCTTTGGCTGGAAGCAAGTTCTGGGCATCTGAGCCAGCCTAGTGTTGGACACGGTTTCTTAAAATAGCACAGTTGGGCTCTGTTGACTTTCCTGTCTAGAAAGGGCACAGGCTTTTTCTACCTCCTTGAGAACCAGGTCTGAATGGGAAGCCAAGCAGTCCACTTGTATTCCGCCTTTGGAAAAAAAAAATCAGTCTGCATTACACTGTTTTTATTGGTTGCATCAAAGGAAGGGGAGAAATATATACACATATATTTGCATGTATATGTATATAACAAAATACCAGCCAACCTAAAACTCATTTTTAACTTGGTAGAGGATGAAGTGAAATATAACCAAGAAAATTGGGCCAATAAAGATACATCTGTGACTTAACAGGCACAAGGTCTCTACAGCTGCCATAAGAGGCACCCTGGTTAGAGAGGAGGGGATCTGCCAGGGCAGACAATGGAGTGTGTTCTACACTTCCTGCTAGTGTTCAGGTGGCATTCCTCAAGGACAGGATCTCCCTAGATCTCTTCCACATGCTCCCAAAGCTGCAGTGAGGTTGGCTGTGCCCAGAAGAGAGAAAGACCCTCTTCCATCTGGTAACTTCAGAGTGAAAGGGAAGGGCCCCCTTTCTGCTGAGCACGCCACTGTGCTCCCCCCGGGGGGGGTGGACATTCTCTCCCAAGCACTGCCTCAGCACCTGCTACTTGGTACCACCTACCCCTTCGTTCCACTGTGGAACAGTTCCCACCCTCCAGCCAGGTCCATCCAAACTGACTTCCAAAGCAGCTAGGTCTTTCTCAACCACTTCCACAGTGAGAAGCAGTTCTGAGAGTCAACATCTTTCCGTTGCGGGTTATAAAGCAGATTGGGGATACAAATTCAATGCTGGGCCCAGAAAAGAATTCATGTACCCTCTTATAATTACTTATGATGGGATTTGAACTGCCTTTAAATATGTAAATTTTCTAACACAGCTCCTGGCCTCTCTTGGAAGTTGGACTGTGTCCTTGCTTCCCGGGGTTTTCTGCTTGGCTTCCCTCCCCTGTGGGCACTGTCAGAACTTGAGCCCTCAGGGGTATGGATAGAAAGCAAAAGGATCCTTAAAGAAAATGGTATGTTTATGTGGCCTGTCATAAAATGTCTTCACTGAAGACTGAAGGACCAAGGGCGTTAGTCGCCTTACATTGGAAAAGAAGCCACTGATCCTGCTATTTAAAGAAAGTCCCTGTCCCCTTGCTGTCCAGAGAGCTCCAGGTTTTAGGTGTAGGATCCATCCCCTCATCTTGCTGCCCTGACCCAAACTGCCCTTCAGGAACCTCCACCAGGGTCTCCCAGCAGATGTCTGGCAGGGTCTACAGTGCTGCCCACCTGGTCAGACTAGAGTGCTCTTGTTGCTGGGCACTGCAAAGGGCCCTCTGTCCCTCTCTGCCAGTGACTGTCTTACACACGCGGGCGCGGGCACACACACACACACACACACACACACACACACACACACATACCCCTGCAGCCCAGCTACTGCCAGCTACAGGGCTTTGCTGTCCTCTGCAGGTCTCACTAACACTCCTTTTTCTCTAGCTGGTCTCATGTGGAGTCCTGGGGCCCTGGGAGAAGCTGGTTCAGATCAGCCACAAGATGCTACAAGACCCTAATCCTTACCTCATTTGTTCATAGATGGACCAAGCAGAGCTCAAGCCTAATCTCTTTACTTTCAACATAATCTCATTTTATGATTGCCTTCTTTCCCGCAGGATTTAACCGTTTTGTTTCCTTTTGAGCTGTTTTGTGTTGACTGTTATCTACCAAACGCATTCCTTTGCCACGTACACCATTTTCTTTTGCAAAACCCCACTGGCACTGTCCTCGGTTGCGATGTGGCTTTGCATTTCTGTTCTCTTCCTCCTGGTGTTTGCACCCACAGCTGCTGCGGGCCTCCCTGGTTGCTCACCCTCTTTTGTTTGTTGCAGACAATCCCTATAATGACTCGTCCTTAAGAAACCACCCTGACATATACAGTGGTGAGTCCCGGGAGTAACTTCTCCTGTCCTAATCCACTTTGGCTAACTTGACTGATACCATGACATTAACTCCTGCTGGGTGGCAGAGTGGACAGCTGCTCAGGCAAGGTGCCAAAGAGACACCTCAGGACACTGCCCGCCTGGAGCAAGGTGGCCAGTGAGGGAGTTTGGGGTAGCTCATATTGGAAGTGTTTCCTTCTTGCCCCTCCTATTGCAAGTCTCCATTTGCTAAATTCTTAGACGGTAGTTTTAAGCAGGGTAGATCTCATGGAGGACTCAGCAGAGGCTCGAGGATTCGTGGCAGATGGATGGAAAGTGGACTTTTGCATCACTGTGTCCAAATTATCTGAGAAACAACTCGAGAGATCAGAGATTTATGTCAGCCTATGATTTTGGTCCTTCACGGCAGGGAAGCAGGCACCGGAGCTTCATTCACTATTGACAGGAGTGTATGTGGAGGCCATTCACATCACAGCAGACTAGGGAGCAGAGAGCAAGGCAAGAAGCAAGGGTCAGATGTCCTTTAGAAGCCCAGCTCTAGTTACCAGCTTTTACCAGCTAGACCTCACCTCCTGGATGTTTCATCTGCCCTTAGAACAGCATTGTGAGCTGAAGAAGAAGCACGGACCAGGGCAGGGGCGCATTTCAGATTTAACCATAACAGAGGATGATAATAGGTGAGAGTCTGCAGTTAGGAGGGGACAGAAAACCCAGGTCCTATTGCTAGTGTAAAGAGCACAGCTTTCATTGCGTTAACTCTTCAGTGTCTGGGTATGAATTGCCTGCTTTGTAACTGCACTTTGCTTCCTAAGAGTATTGTGTCACAGCCAGGTCCCATATCTCTCTAAGGTTTTCCTAAAGGGCTGGAGGGATGATTCATCAGTCAAGAGCTTTGACTGCTCTTGCAAGGATCCAGGTTTGATTCCCAGCACCTGCATGGTGACTTATCTGCAACCTCAGTTTCAGGGAATCCGACACCCTCTTCTGGTCTCTGCAGGTATCAGGCCGATGCATGGTGCACTTACATACATGCAGGCAAAATATGCACATACATAAGATAAAAATAAGTAAATCTTTCTTTAAAAGATTAAAGGCTTCCCTAGAAAATGGTATTAAGAACACCAGGCCAGAGCTCTCTTTCCAGGCAAGTATGAAAGAAGTTGTCCCTCCCTGTCTCTGACACCTGTGCCTTTTCTCCCTCTGGCAGCATGGCAAACCCAGGGCCCACCAGCCACATCTGCAAGTCATGAATCAATCACAATGAGTAATATTTCTAGCAAACCACAACTGGCTGCTAGGTCTGATTAATAGGGGAACTGGCTATTTCCACACCTGAGTCTCCCCTCACAGTGGCTAAAGAGTGCCTGGTGTTCCTTGGGCAGCCATCGGACTCAGCATTTGCTGGCTTTGGCAAGGCAGCTGGTCCCATCATCTGCTGTGCTTCTGAGCCGAGGTCAGGTCCCCAAGGGGATCTTTGGGAGCTCAAAAAGGCAGGAATGTCTTTGCTGAGGTTGCTAATATAAGCAATGATCAATGTCTGTGGTGGAGGATGGGACAAGAAATGAGAGCCAAGGGAAAACAAAGATTCCGAGTTGGCACCAGCAGCAAAGCCATGCGGAGAAACTGCCAATGAGATTTACTGCCCAAGGAAGCTGGGGCCTTTGTTGGATTCTGGGGATTATTTGTTTTCAGGATAATGAAGCCAGCCACTGTTGGGTCAAAAGTCCCAGAGCACTGCTATGGAATGTGCCTTTTTCTAAACTGAACCCCAAATATCTAATATAAGAAGTGCTCTGAAATCCAGAACATATCGGAGCCCTTAGAGGTCGCCTGGCTCAAGTTCTTTGCTTTAAGTAAGGCAGGGAAATGTAGTTGTTTTATCCATGGAAGATGACTGGGTGATTTCAGCCATACATGACCTACATCATCTCCAAAGGTCAGTATTTTTTTTTAAGAAGAAAATAAGTGAGATTTGTGAGAATCACTCAGGAATGTGAAAGCAACAAAGCTCACATGGAGACTGAGCCCCGGGTCCTCAGTCCATACCAGGACATGACTGGCATAGCCTGAAGCTTCTGGGAAGGACAGAATGTTAAAAAAAAAAAGTTACATACTGAGCAAAGGACAACCAAGCTGATGGTTTTATAAAGAAGGAAAAAACAAGAAAGTAAAGGAATTCTTCCTGGGTGAACAGAGATGCTAGCCAAGGGACATTGTCAGTGACAAATGTCCAGTATACACCTCTGTTTGGCTCTGAAATATGACGTCTCTTTTCTAACAGTAGGGCCACTCAGTCCTTCTGTTCTGATGAAGTGTTCAGAGTTGGCATCCAATGGACATGGGCCAGAAGCTGTCTCCCCCTCTGATTGGCAGAGAAAGCCACTTGGGTTTCATCCAGGCCAGAAAGCAGGTGGTTTATAGTGTGTACTTGGAGGTATACTGCCTCGAGTCAAATCCAGTCTAGAGACACACCACCAGGAAACACTGGGCAAGTCATTAATGCCTTAGGACTTTGATTTCCTCATCTGCCAAACAGGCAGGTTACTAGCCCCAAAGATGGCTGTAAAGGTTAAAGAGGACCGTGTGTCCACAGCCTGATAAGCTGCCACACACACTGACAGTGTTAATATATAACCCATTGCTGGATTTAAAGGGAAAGGCTTTGTGTGGACTGGATTGTATATAGGCCATCTGTTTCTAAATTAAGGGAAATGCAGAGAATTGGAAGAGAAGCCCGGGAGAGAGAGGCAGGCACACTTACAGGAGAGATACTCCACAGGGAGAGAGAGAGAGACATCAGAGTATACCAGAGAATGAAAGCTGCCCAGATTGTGAGCTCTGCTAAGAACTGGGTAAGGAGAAAAGCTGCAACTATTACAGGCCGGAGTTGAGTTAAATTTATAGAAGAATTTTCCTAACAGGGAGACATACTAGGTATTTCTTGACCAAGAGACCCCCTTCCCCATACCTTTTGCTCAGCCATTCCTAAGGCCAGAAACATGGGTGAGGTGCCAGGAAACCTGCCTCACAGTTCTGAGAATTGAAGACAGCAGAGAGAACTGAATGTAGGATCCAGCTGCCATAATGAGCCGCATTTGGCGAAGGTTCCCAGGCGCAGCTGATGTATTGAACCATTGTTCCATTGGCAGGCGGCACTGAGTGACGGCGGGAATAGCTAAGTTTGTCAGCACTTTTGACCTTTCTCAATAGAAGACAGCCAGAAACTGTTTCTCATTTGACTCTTAAAGCCAATTTTATTAAAGTGGGGTTGTGCCCTGATGTCCTCTAACCGACCATCTGGCCCTGGAGATCTGTGAGTTCTCTCAGAGCCATAGCTTGCAAGAGCCACCCTTAGGCAGCTATCCTTAAAGCTATGCAGGTTTGGGTCTGGCTTCTGGATCCTGAGTTCCTCCGTATTGGGTGGACCGCAACCTGAAGGCTGGAAATGGGCAGAAACATCCCTACCTCCATAGTGGAGACAGCTGTCCTATCTAAAGAGACATCTTTCACTACATAGAGCTTCCTGCAATAGTTACCTTCATCTTGGTAGTTACTGGTTCCTGTGTCTCCTCCAGGGAAAGAAACTAGGCACCCTCCCTCGGGAACAGGGGCTCCCAAAGTCACCAGCCAGGCTCTCTTCTTAAGTTTTCATCTGGTCCCTCCTGCACAGCCATTTCTTCATAACCGCCCTTTAGCTCCAGTCTTCTCATTGCTCTGAAAAGCCACTAGTCACCATGATTCTCCTGCAAGATTCACACCCCCCTAAGAATCCAGTTGAGAGGCCTTGGAGCCTCCTTATTCCCTCTCCAGCTTCTTTTCCAACTCTCTCGGTTGCCACCAAGGAGAGCTGGGATCTTTGATGGTGAGAAGCGTAAAGCAGACCAGAGCAGATCACAGGACCAAACGCCTTTCTCCTTCACCTCTCGGTGTTTGGATTTTGGGTTTCTTTGGCTGGGGTTATTTGAAATCTATTCTGAAATTTCCTCTTAGAAATGGGGACAAGTGGCATCTCCAGCTTCAGAAGAGAGTCAATTTGGAATAACCTCACAGCACATCTCCGAATCCAAAGCAGAGTGAACTCATGGGCTCGGGCAAGCCTGTTAACTTCACAGAAACTCGGTTTCCTCTGCTAAAAACAAGTGGTACTGCCAGAGTGTGTTGTGAGGATTCGACATGCTGGTGCTGCAGACCAAACAGTCCCAGCTCTTGGCGCCTATTAGGTCCGAACTGAGTGGCGATGGCTGCCTCTGACTTGCAGGGTAGTCTTTTATTTCATTCTCCTTTCCAATGGCTGCTTCCTCCCTAAGACACCTCTGTGGGTTGGTAGCCCACATCCTGCAAACGTGGTGCTGCTGTAGCTTTGCTCTGGTTACATTCCAGTGTGCCATGATGCCCGAGAGCAGGCTCTGCACTAACCTTCCTGCTCTGCTTACTGTTTCCTGCCCCTGGGTTTTTGTGCTACATGGAGGATCACAGGCTGGCTCCTGCAGACTTTCTTCCATGTGCGGAATGAGTGTGATGACTGAGATGGGATCTTTTCCACCTCGTTGTGGGGTTTGCAACTCTGGACAGACTCATCCACTTAATATGAGCCTCCTGCCCTGAAATTGCCCTAACATTTTGGTGCCCACACCTGTGTTTTCTTGACTGTTTTTGGTGACTGTGTGATGAGGGTGGGAGGAAGCTGCTTCGTCCTGGATACTGTGAGCTGGGTGCTGCTAGGTCCACAGGTATAGACAGTAACCAACTAACCACTTAATGAATTAACCCTGCAGTTGCCGCTGTTCTGTATGTGTGTGCTGGTGTGATAGATGAGGACGGCTATAGACAGCATGGGGTGTAAATTGTTGCCTCCTATTTTTGTTTCTTCTCCTCCCTTTAACTTGTTTACCCCCCAAATATTTACTGAACATGTGTCATATGTCATGTATTGTATTGTACCAATAGCCAGTATGTGTTTTTAACCTTTCTTCCCCTGACGAAAAGATAAAAGCTATCTCTGTGAGATGTTTCCCAATGGTTAATGAAGAGATGCCGAGCATCCCCAGGACAGGAGCTCCCTGATCCAGACAGACACCTGCAGATGCAGCCAACTCCCATAAGAAGCACAAATTACTCAGTTTGGATCCCCCACCAACCAGCCCTCACTCCACTCACACCAGTTAAACCCAGAAGAATGCCCTTGTGCCCACTCCAGGCATCTCCAAGGGCTCCTAGTTCCTGGCAGCTCTGCCTTTCTACTACTTTCCACTTGTCTGGCTGAGCCTAAGACCCATGGCTTAGCGTATAGTCATCTTTCAGTCCTTGGTCTTTGTGTATCTCTCAGCAGTAGTTCCTCCTCCAGTTTCCCTTTTGACTTGGGGTTTCAGGTTGGAAATCTATGATTTTTCTTTTACCCATTCCTACAGAGCCATACAAAGGTTACATAGGAAAGAAGTGAGGCTTGGACAAGGTGAGGTCCATTCTCCATGGGTGCACCCTGATTGGCATGGGCCCTTCCACAGGGAACAGGCTGATGACAGCATCAGAGTATGGACCACTGTTGACCACATCCCTCACCCTGACTGCCATTCCTCCCACCCACAACCACCCCCATCTCTCAAGCAGTTAGTCAAGAGTTAGGAGGCAGAGTGGACGTGGCCCCAGAAAGCGTTCCAGTCATCTCTCCCCATTTGTTCTCTTCATGTCTTTGCTACGCCATTAATAATTCTCCCCGCATGTCCACTGTTTATCTGGGACTTCGTTGCTTCATCCAAGCTCCTGAAGAGCAGATTGCTTGTACTATGTCCCCAGTCTATGCCTTTTCTTTCTCCAGTGTCTCTATCTGGGGAGGATAGACTGACACTGAATGACCTGCCCTGGGGCTACCTCAGTGGCTGGTCTGTCCCAATACAGTTGACAGAGAATGGACCTCTCACTGCTTGATAACCCCTCTCTGTCCCAGAGGAAGGGAAGGGTTTCTAGGCTCTTCTCAACAGAACCTGGAGCTGGTTACATACATGTGCTGGTGGGGCAGAGACCCCAAGCTTCCCAACACACCTCTTAAATATGCCCAGATCCCGGGCTTGGGCTGCAAGGACCGAAGAGTGGGGCATGATGACATTTCTCTCTAACCCAACAGTTCTGGCACACCTGGGAAGGAGGCTCATGGAAGTTTGTTCTGTCCTGTTTCAGCCCGAGGAGTTTCCGAAAGAACGCCTAGCTTCATGTATCCTCAGGGCACCTCGAGCAGTCAGATGGTACTTCGTGGCATGGACCTGCTGCTGGAGTGCATTGCCTCTGGGGTGTATGTACCGTCTGCACCATCTTCTACCCCTGTTCCTGGAGGATGGGTGGGCATCAAGCCACGCATTTAGAGGTGCACCAGTACACAGGGAAAGGGAAACAAGCAGCCCCATGAGCAGAACACTGTATGTCTGTCACTTGCATCTCACTATGGCTGTCCCTGCTTGGGGAAAAGAGAAAAGGGAATGGCTGGGTGTGCTGATCACGTGGAATCTTAGCTCTGTCTTTCCATGGAGACCCTGTGGCCAAACAGCCTCCTCTGTATAGAAAAGCCCAGTTTTCAGAGGGTATGCACCTTCCTCCCAGGCCCAAGTCCCCTTTAAGGATAGCTGGGTGTCAGGCTCTCTAGAAGACAAGGGCTGCATTCAATAACAAGCCCTTTGTCTCCTGCTTGGTCCCTTTACTAGCCCAACACCAGACATTGCATGGTACAAGAAAGGTGGAGACCTCCCGTCTGACAAGACCAAGTTTGAGAACTTTAACAAGGCTCTTCGCATCACCAATGTCTCTGAAGAAGACTCTGGAGAATATTTCTGCCTGGCGTCCAACAAGATGGGCAGCATCCGGCACACGATCTCGGTGAGAGTAAAGGGTACGTTGTGTGTATTTCTCATTATGATTACATTGCCAGCCCTGAACACAAACATGACAACCTTCCCTCTGTGGCGAGGAGGCAGAGAGAATGGGGAGCATCCAGAGTGATATGATGGTGTCTCCCCTGAATGTGTGCCTATATGCACTCATGGACACATACCCTGAGGAAAGGATACAACCTTAATGTTTGCCCAGCTGGGAGAGCTCTCTGCAAGTGACATTCCTCCCAGAGCCTTTTCTTCACTTTGCATTCCCATCTGTGGTGTGTCGTCTTAGCCTGTGCTGTCTGTGTTGTATGCATGGCACTGTGCTTCTTCTAAAGGATGGGAATCATCATGGACCAAGACATTTTTTAAGCCACTTCCCTCCCCTCAAAGCAGACACAGCCCACCTGAGCTGTTGCAGCTGTTTCGACACTAGAGCCCCTGTCGCTGTGGGTCCTGGCTATGTGATGGGCTGTGTGAATCACTTCTCAACCCAGGATTCCCTGCAGACTGCGAGGTCGAGGGCTGAGGGCTGAGTACAAGAACTTTCTCAGCATACAGTTGACTGATCTTACGATCTTGCCTTCAGGACTCTCCACACACAAGTGCTTTCTCATCCTTTTTGGTGAATAGCAAGATGTTTGAGGTTTTAATCCAAAAGTTTCTTTTCTCAGGAAAAACTCCACGTGTTCACAAAGTTGTCCAAATAATGGGAAGGGCCAAGAATTGCTCTAACTAAACTTCAGTGCCTAAAAGAAAAAAGTTCAGATCTCTCTTAGACCTCTGTTCTTATAACAGCGGAATCCTAAAGGGTGCAATCAAGGGCTCCATCAACACCTATGAGCTCTCAGAGCTTCAGCCACTCGGTCCCCTGACAGCTCAGAGGCAGTAGGTGTAGATGAGTACCGGTATCCCCATGTTTTAAAAGCCTGTTGGGAAAATCTAATAAGCCAACTCTGCTCCATGGGCTTGGCGAACCAGCAACCCGCAGACTGGGCTGAGCCATTGCTCTGGAGGTAAAAGATAAGGGCTGGTACTTGGGGGTCACCCTCACACAGGAGCCCACCTGGCTTCTCGTGCCTAGCCTGTGCCATCTACATCTGCCTGCCTTGTCTTTCAGCTGCTCCGTACTGGCTGGACGAACCCAAAAACCTGATCCTGGCTCCTGGTGAAGATGGGAGGCTGGTATGCCGAGCCAATGGGAACCCGAAGCCAACCGTCCAGTGGATGGTGAATGGGGAACCTTTGCAATGTGAGTCTTACTCCACTTGTTCCCTCTGCCCTCCAGAGGTTTTATTGGTGGGTGATGTCCCCAAAGTGAAAGAAATGAATGACTCATTGGTGCTACTTCCAGCAGCCTTCCTCGGCAGGCAACTAGGAGGTAGAGAATGCCTTCCTTATTTTTCTGAGAGAACAGGAGGATAAATAGCCTAGAGTCTGTGGTTGTGTTCCAATGTTTAGAGATTTCTGCTTCTTTGTAGTTTTCTTAGCATTTGCTTTCTGCCCAATAAGTTTGGGCTCTGAGTGGTGGGCGGGGCTTAGAAGGTTGAAAAGCCCTCTGTTGTCATTAACCACTGATGGATCTGAGTCTGTGACAATGTGAAAGACTGCCCCACTAAGTGTTTTGGAGAAATTTTCTTTTTTGCTGCACTTTTAGAGTTCCATTTATTTCTGTTTATTTTTTTAACTTTCGTGTTTTAATATTCTGTTCTTCTTACATTTAACTACTTGCATTTATGCATTTTTCATTGTCAATATGTGTGTGTGTGTGTGTGTGTGTGTGTGTGTGTGTGTGCAGGTTGTGTGCAGGTTCACATATGTGCCTGCAGGTAAAGGCCAGAGGACAACTTTGAGTGTTATTTATCAGGAGCCATTATCGTGTCTTTTTGAGACGAGGTCTTTCACTGGCCTAGAATTTGACAAGTAGAGTAGGCTGGCCAGCCAGGGAGCCCTGGTGATGTACCTGTCTCTGTCTCTACGCTGCTGGGATTATAAACATATTCACTGTGTCTGGCTTTTTTACATGTGCTTGAGATCAAAGCAAACAATTTACCAACCAAGTAATCTCCTCAGCCCCAAACAAAGTCTTTTCTGTTGTGTTTTATTCCCTTCCTTACATCTGTCTCATTTTCTTTTTAGACTTTTTTGTTGGTGACCTTTATTTAATCCCTTTTTCTTTCCTCTTCCCCTTCACAACATTCTACTACACTCCTTTTCTTTTTATTATCTTATATCTAACCTTGCTTTCTTGCGTTTTCCATTTCTTTATCACATTCATTTACTATTTTTGTATGCACTCTAAATAATTTTCAACTTCATAGTACACACTGTATTATTTTACTATTTTTCTGTTCTACAGCCATTAGTTTTGTATCCATGGGCTTTTGGCCAATATTAAGTGTATTTCCGTGCCAGGTGTTGGCTTGGTGTTGTTGCTGTCACAGCAATTTGTTATCTGCTCTCTGAATGGTAATGGGAATTGTCCCCCTTGAAAGCTCAATAAGAGGAGGGTGGTGGTAGCACACACACCTTTAATCCTAGCATTCGAGAGACAGAGATAGGTGGGTCTCTGGGTTAGAGGCCAGCCTGGTCTACAGAGTGAGTTCCATGACAGCCATGGTTGCACAGAAAAACTCTATCTTGAAAAAACTAAACCAAACAAACAAGGAGCTCAATAAGAAGATACAGAAATGAAACTGGAGGAAGAACTATTAAAACTGACAGATGTGTAAATCACAGCTCAGACACACAAGAAACATGAAAAAAACCATATAGCATGACTCCAGCAAAGGAACATGATTCCTCCGCTGCTGAACTCAAAGACATTAAATTAGTAAGTGCCAAATGAAAATGCAAATGTGTAAAATGACCAGTAGCCTCAAAGAGGATTGGAACAAGCAGCTGTGTGAAGTGAAGAAATGAGTTCAGGATCCAGAGACATGGACGAGACAGTCAGAGAAACACAGGAAGAGAAACATGGAAGAGCAAGGACAGTGAGAGCTGTTTAAAAAAATAGAAATGTTGAAATGAAAAACTCAACGAATCAAGTAAAATAACACAGTAGAAATCATCAACAGACTACACTAAGAAGATGAAAGACTATCAGGAATAGAAGTAAACGTCAAGGAAATCATCTTCCTAAAATTAAAAAAAAAAAAAATAGCGTGACAACAACTTCCTAAAATCCTGAGATGCAATCAGGAGATAAACCTAAGAATCCAAGATGCAATAGAAAGAGCTGAAATAAAAAAAAAAAAAAACTAATGGTACAGAGAATCTATTCAATGAAATTAAAAGCTATAAGAGAAAAATATCAACTGACAAACACATCAGAATAACATTAGGCTTCTTTACAAACCCTAGAAATGAAGTACTAATGCCCGTGTTCCTCAAACTGTTCACGAAGTCAAAACAGAAGGGACACTATCAGACTCATTCTATGAATCCAGCACTACTTTTATATCAAACTTGAAAAGGACACACACACACACACACACACACACACACACACACACACACTAGCTCTCTAAAAGCTGGGCATGAAACTGAAAGAGGAGGATAGTTGTGGGTTTAATGCTAGCCTGGGCTAATTGGTGAATTTCAGGCTATCTTGGGCTATGGAATAAGACTTTTCCTCAACAAGAAAAAATATAAAGGGAGACCAATTTCCCTGATAAACATAGATGAAAAAATTATCAATTATCAATAAAACAGTTACAAACTAAATTCAAGAACACATTAAAAAGATCACACATCATGACCAAGCTGGTTTCATTCCAGGGATGTGGAAAGTTGGCTCAACATGTATAAATCAATAGCTGTAATACAGCAGATAAATAGACATACGGATGGGAGTCACAGGTCACCTCACCCGATGCAGAAAAGCCCAACACTCCACATGATAAGTTTTCCTGAAGAAACCAGGAATAGAAAGAACAGACCTCTACATAATAAAGTCTATATTGCAACAAACCTATAAAACGTATTGAGTGGGGCTGGGGGGTGGTGGCGCATGCCTTTAATCTCAGCACTTGGGAGCCAGAGGCAGGCGGATCTCTGTGACTTCGAGACCAGCCTGGTCTACAAGAGCTAGTTCTCTGTGTTACTTCAAAGTAACACAGAGAAACCCTGCCTTAAAAAAAAATATTGAGTGGAAAACCAAAAATATCTCTACTAAAATTAGGAATGAGACAAGGTTGTTTGCTTCCGTATTCACGATAGTTCTTGAAGCCTTAATTAGAGCAACAAGACAAGACAGAAACAAAAGGGACATGTCTTGGGTGGGGTTCTATTGCTGTGATGAGACACCATGACCATGGAAACTCCTACAAAGGAAGAATAATTAATTGGAGTGGCTTACAGTTTCAGAGGTTTAGTCCGTTATCATGGTGCTGGAGAAGGAGCTGAGAGTCCTACGTGCTGGCTGCAGTCAACAGGAAGTAGTCTATCTCACTGGGTGGTATTGAACATAAATGAGACCTCAACGCCCAACTCTACAGTGACATACTTCCTCCAACAAGGCCACACCGCCTAAGAGTGCCACTCCCTTTGGGGGCCATTTTCTTTCAAATCACCACAGGGCACAAATAGGAAAATAAGCCCCTACTGCAGATGATACAAACCTATGAAAGGCTTAGTCTTAGAAACCTCTTAGATTTAATAAATGCTTCTAGAAAGCAGAAGTATGCAAAATCAATATACAAATCTCAGGAGCTTTCATTTACACCAATAGCAAACTTGATGAGAAAAAAAACCTCCACCACCAACAACAGCAAACAACTAACAAAGAGAAAAACAACCAAAAAAGCAAAAAGGAAAGAAGAAAGAAAGAAAAAAACCCCAAAACAAATAAGCAACAAAACAAAAACCCCCAGTGATAACTCTAACCAAGAAGGTGAAAACTGCCACAACTAAAACTCAGAACACTGAAGAAAGTCACTAAAGACGACCCTAGAAATTGGAAGGATCTATGGATTAGTTACTTGTCGCTGTAGTAACTACTTGACAGAGGCAATCTAGGGAAGGTTGGCTGCCTGGGTAACAATTCGAGGACATGGTCCACCTTGGCATTTTGAGGCAGCTGGGCACATGGCATTTGCAGAGAGAGAGATGAATGATGGCGTCAGCCCTTTTTTTGCTTTTATTTGGGCCAGAACCCCAGCCTGTGGAAAGAGCCATAGTTAAGACTGTTCTTCCCAATCTCCGTCCATCCAGTCTGTGTGCCTGCCCTAAGTCTTGTCTCTTAGGGGCTCTAGAACCTGGCAAACGGTTAGCACTAACCATCTCAACCTCCCATGTTCTTGGTTTGGCAAAATTAACACCATGATTACGATTACAAAAATCAATTGCAAGTCTACTCAATCCTCATCTAAATTGGAGGGAAGGGTCTTTAAAATCATATGAAGAAAAAAAAAAAAGGATCCCAAATAGTAGAGGGAGGGGCTGGAGACATCACTATCCTTGACCTCAAACTATACTACAGAGTCATAGTAACAAAAACAGCATGGTTCTGGAACAAAACATAGAGATAAATAGACTAATGGACTAGCATACGGGACCTTGATATAAACTCTCAACCATAGCCACCTAATTTTTGACAAAGATGGCAAAAACGTACATTGGCAAGAGGATAGCCTCTAATAAATGGTGCTGTTAACACTAGGTATCCACATGTAAAAGAATGATCCTAAAGCCATCTCTCTCACCTAGTACAAAAATCAATGCAACAAAGATCCTAAAACTGTTACAGAAAAACATGAAACACAGTTTCTCAGGAAACAATTCCAGGAATTGGCAGATGGGTTGTGTGTAGTACAAAAGCTTCTGTACAGTGATGGGGGGAACAGCAGAGTGGAGAGACAGCCACACAATGGGGGAACAGCAAAGTGGAGAGAGAGCCACAGAATGGGGGGACAGCAAAGTGGAGAGACCACCATAGAATGGGGGAGCCAGGGGAGAGACAGCCAAAGAATTGGGGAACAGAGGAGTGGAGAAACGGCCACAGAATGGGCGGAACAGCAGAGCAGAGAGACAGCCACAGAATGGGGGAACAGCAGAGCAGAGAGACCACCACAGAATGGGAGGAGGACAACGGGCAGAGTGGAGAGACAGCCACAGAATGTGGCAAAGTCTCCGCTAATTCTACATCCAGCAGGATTAATATCTAGACTCTGAAGACTTACTACCAGGAAAATGAGCTGTCCAATCAACAAATGGGCAAACTAACTGAACAGGTAGTTCTCAAGAGATGTATGAATGACCAATAAATACATGAAAAATACATTACATTCAACATCCCTAGCCATCAGGAAGACGCAAATTAAATCTACAAACAGAATGACACAGAGTGTGAGGAAGGAGGAACTCATACATACACTGTTGGTGACAGTGCCAACTGAGTCGGCCACTGTGAAATCAGTGTAGAAGTTCCTCAAAAAAAACTAAAAGATAGTGGGAGTGGTAGCACACACTTTTAATCCTAGGACATGGAAGGCAGAGGCAGGAAGATCTCTGTGAGTTTGAGGCCAGCCTGGTCTACAGAGCGAGTGCCAAGCCAAGCCAATCTGGGCTACATGAGACCTTTATCTAAATACACACACACACACACACACACACACACACACACACACGCACGCACGCACGCACGCACGCACATATACACTGAGAATAGAGTTGTCGAGATGGCTTAGCAGGTAAAAGTACTTGCTGTATAAGCCTGAGTACCAACCCTAGAACCCACATAAAAAAATGCAAGGGGAAAACCTACTCCACAGAGTTGTCCTCTTATCACACAGTTGGTGGCACACATGTCCCCACACACATCTAGATGTAACAATCTTAGACCCTTCCTAACATTTTGTACTTGGGCTGGTGAGGTGACTCAGAAGATTCGGGCACCTGCTGCCAAGCCAGACAGCTTGAGTGTGAACCCTAAGACTCACATGGTGGAAGGAGAGAACCAACTCCCAAAAATTACCCTCTGACTTCTATCCCTGCACTGTGGCGTGTGTGCCCCAGGCACATACACCCAAAGTAAAACACCTTTACAAACTAGAAAGAGAACTACCATATAATCAAGCTATACTGTCCCTGATCACATATGTACTCGAAGGAATCTGAGTCAGCACACCACAGAGATACTTGCAGATCCATGCCTTTGCTGAACTGTTCACAACAGCCAAGAGACAGAAGTAACCTCTTTGCACATCCACAGATGAATGGATAGAGAATAACATGGCACACAGACACAATGGCGTTTTATTCTGACATAAAGAAGACCAACCGCTCGCATCGTGTTAAGTGAAATGAGCCACACTCAAGACAGGAGTTCCATGTTTTCTCATGTGTGGAATCTGGGCTAAAATATGAATATACATACATACACACATCAAGGGCACAAAAGTAGACGTCTGTGAAAGGGGAGAAAGCGATTTAAAAGGAAGTGTATGTGGCATGAAAGCAGAAAGGAGCCTGTGGGGAGGGAAACAATGAGAGCAGGGGGAGAGGGAGATGGGAGTGTAGCTGGGGGAGAATATGACCAAAGTCCATTGGTGTGTATATATGACAATATTGTCCCATAATTTTCATATGCTAAATAAAAAATCATTTTAAAAATAGTCAAGGAAAGGAACAGGAGAAGAAACAGAGGCAGGCAAAGTGGGGAGGCTGCTTGCTAGGTGATGTGTCCATGCCCTTTCAAACACAGAGGGTGAGGGAACTAAGCTGTGTATTGCAGGAGGCCCCGGGGTGGGGAAGCTGAGGACTGCATTGGACTGCAGAGGGCTTGCAACCTCTAAAATTGAATCTGTCGGTATCCCCAGGGACTCATTACCCCACCATGTGCAGCCATAGCCACAGCCCTCTGGCCAGTCTTCTGCCCTTATAGACTTTTGGGGAAGCAGGGAGTGGTGGTGTACTTGGTAGCACTGTGCTGGGGATGCAGCCCAGGGCTGGCAGCTGAGCCTCAGCCCTGAGGTCATCTCTCAGCCTCTGCAAGAAGTGCCTAAGGGAGGTGACTGACTGGCAGGGAAATCGTGTTCGTGAAATTAGCCAGGCTAGGTGTTCAGGTGGGTGGTGTCACTTCCCAGGTGCCTTTTTGCTGAGTAGGTCCCAGGGTAGATGGATAGGACACCGACCATGCCTTCATTTACCTTCTGCTGAGTCCCCAGATTCACTATCTGTTGAGAGGCGCCACAGGGCCAGACACCTGCTACCCTTGCAGGTCTAAGCAATCCCAGGGAACCCACAGCCTCATTGAGCCAAAGCATTTGCTTCCAAGTTCAGATATTTCCAGTGGTTACAAATGAGAAAAGTGGCTGTTCTTTACATTTCTGGAAAGTTTGTTTTATAGCCCCTTCTCATCCCCTCCCCCCACTTCTTCCTTCTCACGGGGAAGACAAGAACGATGCTTTCCTGGAGCATATGTATTGCTTCATTTATCCCCATGTCCTAGAGTGACATATGGGCAGGGCCTATAGCTCCCCAAAGCAGCAATACCAGGAGAACTATGGGCAAGAATGGTCTCTCTTTGTAGGCCACTTTTCTCGGGAAGACCTTTTTATAAGCACGAAGACTCAATTGGCCTGAAGCTCTGTCTGGTGGGCAGCTTTTTGTGAGATAGGTTCTGCCCAGAGGATGGGAAAATGGTGGGTTTGGGCTACTTGGATGTTGCTGTATTCTTGTCACTATACATTGGATTAAAATCATAATGAATGAATATCTGGCATAGTGACTTACTCATGTCTGTAATCCCAAGGATTGGGAGGCTGAGGCAAGAGGACTGCCATGAGTTTAAGGCTTGTCTGGGCTTCATGATAATTTCAAGACCAGCAAGAGCTACATAGCAAGACCCTGTCTCAGACAATTAATTGACTAAATAAATTGAGTGAGAACAATAACACTAATTCTGGACCTTCCACTATTCTCTTTATACCTGTGTGGAATATCTCAGGATATTGTCACAAGACTCCCTAAGGTGATGGGTTGCCCCACAGACCAGGATCTGAAGCGGTGTGAACAAGGCTGACCAAAGATGTAGTTAGATTCCTATTTTCAAAGTTAGTCTTTTTCCGTAGCTCATGTCTTCAACTACAGCTGCCCAGCTATTGCGTGGATAAAGCAAAGATTCAGAGTCCCACCAGATGATGAGTTGAGAAAAAAACTCCCAGAGCCCCAGGTCACATGGTTCAGCAGTGCTGAATCTGGAAGCTGGGTCTACCTGGGTCCACCCAGCTGCCTCTTCCACAGAACACTTAGCATATTTGGAAACCCTGTCCAAGATCCCTGCCTGCCCCTCACTTCGTCTGGTTCCATTTCTTATGGGAAACCTCCTTTTTTTTAACCTGTAGCGGCACCACCCAACCCCAACCGTGAGGTGGCTGGAGACACAATCATCTTCCGGGACACTCAGATCAGCAGCAGGGCAGTGTACCAGTGCAACACATCCAATGAGCATGGCTACCTGCTGGCCAATGCCTTCGTCAGTGTGTTGGGTGAGCATGCCCTCATAGTAGTCTCTGTCCACTAGCAGTGGGGTCTTCCTGGGGTAGAGTGATGCCTTTAGGTACATTTTCTTCTCTGGAGCCTGGGCATGCTGGGCAGGCTTGGAGAGTTGTGGAACCTGGAGCTGGGGTTTGTGGGGAGAGTGGAGGACTTGCACTCCACCAAGCCAGATGATCACAGGGCTCACTCCATCAGAGAAATTGGGTAGGAAGGGCTTCTGAGCGTGGTTGCTGCGCTTCCTGTGCAAGGAGAGGGCCGTGGGAACTGGTGGATACAAGATGCCTCAGGGCTGTGGAGGATCAACTCCAAAACCTGTGGTATAATTAGGGGAAACCTTTTGAAAAAGTCAGTTTGGATGTGGGACAGGTGGTGGACAGGCAGAACCTTACAGCAAGGATGCCCCATCCTTTGACGTTGTAACGTGACTGTGGTCTACAAATGTGTTAGGCAGCGTTTATAATGATCCTGGGACACCTGAACCCCAGGGGCTGTAGGCTGGGCAGTTCCCCTTAGATGAGGCTTGTAAAAGAAAGGGGTGGAGAAGGATACCTAGGTGTCTGGAAAGCTGCTGTAAGGGGAAAGCATATTGTGGTAACTCTGGGGAGGAAGAGGAAAGGTTGTGTTCCACACCCACATCGGCAAACTGGCCCTCTGGGATTTCAGATGTGCCCCCTCGGATGCTGTCTCCCCGGAACCAGCTCATCAGGGTGATCCTTTACAACCGGACACGGCTGGACTGTCCATTCTTCGGCTCTCCCATTCCAACACTCCGATGGTAAGTCCCAGGAGACCAGGTCTCCCCAGCAGGAGTCATTTGTCTTTTTTGCTGCCATCTGCCCTATAGGGATCCTTAAACGGTCAAAGCTGGCCATCTGGGTGAACCCCCATATTGTTCAGAGAGGGGGCAGCTAGTGGCTATAGGAAGAGCCTGCAAACCTCAGGACTCCATGTGTCTACCTCACACCCTCCAACCCCCCCCCCCCCCCCCGCTGCTTCCTAGCTCCCTTGGGCCAGTCCTTTCTCAGTATGCTGTGTTCGCTGCTCTATTGTGAGGTTTAAGAATGGGCAAGGAAGCAACCTGGATGGTGGTAACTACCACGTCTATGAAAACGGCAGTCTGGAAATCAAGATGATCCGCAAAGAGGACCAAGGCATCTACACCTGTGTGGCCACCAACATCCTGGGCAAAGCTGAAAACCAAGTCCGCCTAGAGGTCAAAGGTAAGCAAGGGAGTTCACAGGTGAGAGTTCAGGTTGGGCAAGAAGGCTATGCTCACCAGTATCCATGGATGCAATAGGAAATGCCCTGCCTGGGATCTGGTGGGCACCAGCATGTCCTCTCGGTGACTCCAGCTGACCTAAGTATGGGAACACTGAGGCATCTTAGCAGCCTGATCCAGAACCTCACCTGTTTCCCCTCACCACCACTTGCATCACGGATTCTGAGCCAGAGAACTATTTGGGGATTTTGATTACCTCACGCACAGAAACTCCTCACCATTCTTACAGCTAGTCACACTCTGTGTTTGACACCTCAAGGTCAGGCCTGTCACACTACGTGGCCACATTGGGGCTGGTGGGCAGAAGAGGGGTTCATGCCAGCTTTCCGATCGTCCTCACAGACCCCACCAGGATCTACAGGATGCCCGAGGACCAGGTGGTGAAGAGGGGCACGACAGTGCAGCTGGAGTGTCGCGTGAAACATGACCCCTCCTTGAAGCTCACCGTCTCCTGGCTGAAGGACGATGAGCCACTGTACATTGGAAACAGGTTTCTGCTCTCCATCTCAATCCCTGGCACACACTCAGGAGGAAGTTTGCTCTTGCTTTCAGTGTCACGCATGTCATTAGGGGGCTGCTAAGAGAGGTGATGACCTTAATGACCCTTTCCCCAGGGCCAACCCCAGGAACCACTCTTCCTCTCTCTCATCTACCTGTTGCCCTCTCCTTCATCTCTCCTCTCCCATCTGCTCGTTTCCTCACCCCTTCTCTCACTTTTCTTCATCCCTTCATTTATATCTCATTTTCTCTTTTTCCCTTCTTCTCTCTTCTGCGTTCCACACTCCAAGCCTTCCAGCTCTGCTTGTAGTGCCCCTGCTCGCCAGTAGAGGGCAGGTCTGGCCCCAACTACCACATTCAGTGCAATGCTTGATGCTCAGCTCCTAAATCTTCTGGGTGCTTTGACGGTGCCCCATCTGCACCTCGCACACCAGTTCAGACTTTATTTGTGTAAGGGTGGGATTCCAGTGCTGATGGTATTGAAAGGTCCCTGGGTTCTTTTTAATATGCAGTTAGGATTGAGGATCCCTATCTCCCTTTGCTCTCTTCGCTGTCTCTCTTCTAGCAGTAAGGCATCATCCATTCCCAGTCTCACCCAGCTTCATGCAGGGATGCAGCCTGCCTGTATTCACGGGCATCCAGCACCCATTAGAACTGACAGTTCTACTACAATCTTGTCTTGCTCGGGGATGCCCCTCCCTCTGGTGGAAACAGATCAGAGGAGCCCAGGGACAGGGCTCCAAAACTGGTACACAGGACAAAACACATGTAGGGGAAGAGAAGCAACACCAGCCTGTCTTCTGTGTGTCGGGTGATGGTACCCTAATTCTGGGAGTGTGTGCAGAACAAGAAAGGTTCAGAGATGGGTGCAGTGTGGATGCTGAGGAGATCCCATCCACTCTTCTACATCCAGTCACAGTGTTGAGGTGGCACCTACACCCCCCACAGGAGCCATGGCTCTCACCTGGCCCAATCACCTCCTTTGTCTTCCTTCTCACTATCCCCTTGTGGGAAGAAAGTAGCAGCCATGCCCAGTATGGGAGCCACCCCCTGCCAACCTCAGCCTGGCACCTTGCAGGATGAAGAAGGAAGATGACTCCCTGACCATCTTTGGCGTGGCAGAGCGGGACCAAGGCAGTTACACGTGCATGGCCAGCACCGAACTGGACCAAGACCTGGCCAAGGCCTACCTCACTGTTCTAGGTAATGGCGGCCACCCACATCAGCACTGACAACCCTTCTCCCTGCTTCCCAGCAGCCAGAGTAGCTGTGCGCATTGGGTGGTCCCCAGGGCAGTGCCTCGTAAGCAGCAGTCAGGTGTGATGACCTCTTCAGGTCTCTGGATTAGGAAGCCGCCACTCTCAAACAAGCTGAGGAAAATTTGGAGTTCTGTCTCCTGAGTGAGGTCCTTGACCTTCCAACCCCAACTGAAAGGTGTGGAATGGCAGAGAGTGGAGTGATGTCTGCCTCTTCTGCTCTTATCGCTACCTCCACACCACCAAGTTGACGAAAGCCACCCGGAAGCAATGCTAGACCAAGATGGGTGTGTGTTTTGTATATGTGGTGTGTGTGTGTGTGTGTGTGTGTGTGTGTGTGTGTGTGTGTGCGCGCGCGTGCGCACGCGCGCGTGCAGTGTGTATGTGTGTGTTTGATATGTGTAATGTGTGTGCGTGGTATATGTGTGGTATGGTGTGTATGGTGTGTGTGTTTGGTGTGTGTATGTTGTGTGTGTGTGTGTGTGTGTGTGTGTGTGTTTGGTGTGTGTGAATTTGATGTGTATATGTGTGTGTGTTTGATATGTGTAATGTGTGTGCATGGTATATGTGTGATATGGTGTGTATGGTGTGTGTATGTGTTTGGTGTGTGTATGGTGTGTGTGTGTGTGTGGTGTGTGTGTGTGTGTGTGTGGTGTATATGTGTGCGCGTGCACATGTGCAAGCACACTTCCACCTCTTCCTCCAGCTTTCTTCTCCTCCCATGCTGCTCCCAGGTTTTAGTGGCTTTTCACATTGGGTCACACACTGAACAAAAGGACATCATCCCTTCTTGTCCATGTGTCCAGGCTGGACTGCAAATACCAAACCATCCTAAACAGAAGGGAAGGAAGCTACCCCTTCCCAATGAAGCAAGTCCTCTGCTATCACCTGTGTCCTGTTCCCTCTCTGAACTCCTGCAGTGGAGGTCACACTCACTGGTCATGATGGGCCCAGATGTGTTAACATATCTGGACAGGAAGAAGCCAGCGACCTCATTCTAGCTCATGGTCAGCTGGGAAGTGGAACTGTCCATGGAAGGGAGAGGACAGCTATGAAAGCCTCATCTATCCATTGCCGTCCTTCTAGAACCTTTAACCCTGATAACCTGCTAACCTGGATAACCCATCTTACTGTTGCAGCTGATCAGGCTACTCCAACTAACCGTTTGGCTGCCCTGCCCAAAGGTAATTTGTACTAATTGGGGGCTCTGGTGCCTGGGGGTGGAATCTTGAGGCGGAATGTGTCTCATGAGAAGACTACATGCAAGTTGGTAGACAACACTCCACCTGCCCCACATGTGACCCCTGGCCCTCAGGCACCCAGAGCCACCTACCTCCCTGGACTATATCACAACTCTGGCCTGGGCTCCTTCTGCAGGTTGGATTCAGAAGTCTGCACCACCATTAATCTCCTTTCCTTCCACCCCACTTAGCCCTCCCTTGAGGCTCCTGCTGTCTGCCCCTAGCTACACCTCAGAAGTGCCTAATGGCCAGTCAGGAAGGCTGCTTCCTAGATTACCCCCTACAGGCTCATCACTTTATAGCTGCCACACATCACACTGGCATGCATCTATGTACTCCCTCCTCCAACTCCTATACACAAATCTCTCTCTCTCTCTCTCTCTCTCTCTCTCTCTCTCTCTCT